TTGTTTGTTTATTTATATATGTATATTTAAAGATGTGGGGTACAATTCAGGGTTAGGTATACAAATTTGAATATGTTTTGAAGAATAGGTATCTTTGTTTTTGGACCCCCAAAACACTGTGAATGTATACAAGAAATCAGATTACACACTTTATATTAAATTATGCAGCACACATATTCAAATGAAGTTAGACGGAGAGCTTAGGGACTATTTTTAATAATACTTAAATGTATTTATCCCTGTTGATTTTCAAGACTGTTTTTCACCCATAATTCAAAGTCTTGGGGTGTGCATTGTAATAAACAGGTACTTGGGAATGGGTTACTCTGAGCCTGATGTCCTGAGAAGTATGTTGATATCTGTAGAGACTCACTTTCCTGACTCTCTGAATTTTTTAAAATGAATTATTATTTATAGAGAGAGAGAGATGAAATCTTGCTATGTTTTCCAGTTTGGTCTCAAACTCCTGGGCTCAAGAAATCCTTCCACTTTGACCTCCCAAAGTGCTGGGATTACAGCATGAATTACACTTGGCTACAAAAGCTAACATAGATGGGTAGGACCTCATCCAGCTGAAAAACTTTTGCACAATGAAGAAACCATCAAGAGAGTAAAGAGACAACCATAGAACGGGAAAAAAATATTTGCAAATTATGCATCTGACAAAGGCCGAACATTTAAGATCTACAAGTCTGTTAAAACAACCCCACTAAAAAGTAAGAAAAGACATGAACATGTGATTAATGCTAACCCAAACTGTCAAAAGCATAGAAAAGAAGCTCAAAAAGACAGAACAAAACCTGCAAGAGATGAATGATCACTTCAAGAGACCAAACCTAAGAATAATTGGGCTTCCTGAGGCAGAAAGAGAAACCGAAGCCACACTGGAACAAACATTTCATGAAATCATTCAAGAAAACTTCCCTCATCTCATTAAGGATGAAAAAATTCAAACACAAGAGATTCAGAGAACCCCTGCAAGACAACAATCGAGAAGACCAACTCCCAGACACATAATAATTCGCCTAAACAAAGTAACTATGAAAGGAAAAATCCTACAGGCAGCAAGAGAAAAAGGCCAGACTACCTACCAGGGAAAATCAATTAGAATAGCAGCAGATTTTTCAACAGAAACCCTTCAGGCCAGGAGAGCCTGGAGCCCTATCTTCAAAGTTCTAAAAGAGAAACAATTTCAACCAAGAATAACCTACCCAGCCAAACTAAGCTTCATAAATGAGGGAGAATTGAAATCTTTTCCAGACATCCAATCCCTTCGAACCTACGCCGCCACCAGACCACCTCTACAAGAAACACTTAAGAAAGTACTGAACACAGAAGAAAAAGAAAAAAGAACAACAACATTCTTCACAAGAGTACAGGCAAAAGATTAAAAACACACATGAACCAACTCCAAAACCCAAAGAAAGACAACAAATAAACAGGAACAACTCTGTAAGAACCTTATGACAGGGATCAACTCTTGCATTTCAATTATTAGCCTAAATGTGAACGGACTAAATGCACCACTGAAAAGACATAGAATGGCAAAATGGATAAAACATCATCAGGCAACAATCTATTGCCTTCAAGAGACTCACCTCATGAGAAAGGACACCCACAGACTCAAAGTAAGAGGATGGGAAACAAACTTTCAGGCAAACGGAATACAAAAGAAAGGAGGAGTAGCGATCTTAATTTCAGACAAAATACCTTTCAAGCTATTAAAAATCAAAAAAGATACAGAAGGCCACTACATAATGATAAAAGGCTCAATCCATCAACAAGAAATATCTATCCTAAATATATATGCACCCAACATAGGTGCGCCAACTTTCATAAAGCAACTTCTTGGAAAACTAAAGAAAGATATCGACTCTAACACTATCATAACTGAGGACTTTAATACCCCACTCACAACCCTAGACAGATCATCAGGACAAAAAATCAGCAAGGAGATCCGGAACCTCAATGTGACTTTGGACCAAAGGGGTTTAATTGATACCTACAGAACACTCTATCCAAAGACCACAGAATACACATTCTACTCATCACCACATGGAATATATTCTAAGATCGACCACATACTCAGCCATAAATCAAGCATAAGCATATTTAAAAGGACCAAAATTCTACCATGTACCTTCTCGG